AATGAACAGTCACAAAAACCCGGTGAAGCCCCTTTTATTCCTTCACTTTGCTTCCAAGCTCCAAATATCCTTGACTGGAGATAAAAAAACTCCCACACAAGCAGTTACAAGAAGGAGGGAAAAAACAACATGAATCAGGCAAGATAAGGGCTGGAAGACGTCCACAGATAACAGAACGCGCCAAACTCAGAGAGGAACCATAAACTGGAGATATTTCCACACTTTGTTTCCAGCGTTCACCCGTAGGCATGTCCGTCCTCTTATTCAGTTGTCACAGCTGCAGGCCATGAAGGGGATCAAGGCCCTCTCCTCCCCAGTAGACCATGTCTCTCCCTTATCCTCTCCTCCCTGTGTGTCTGAGAATGGATAGGGGATGGGCCTGGGTCATCCTCTGATTGCTCAGCCAGCCTCTGGCCTTCCCCAGCCTCCTCCACAACCTCAGGAGCCACACCTCCACTCCCTGTTCCTCTTCTCCCTCAGAATCAGTCTCCACCAGGGGCATGACAGATTCAGTGGATTCGCACCACTTTGGGAAAATCGGTTGTTAAACTTTCTGAGCACTTTGGTGAACTGGTTGTTGGAAGAAATCATTAGGGTCAGAGAACTAGTGGTTAAATTATTGGAATCTCACCCACTGGTGCAAACTCCAGTCCACCATAACTTTGATTTGCTTCTTGGTTTCCTGGAACAGGGGTACCCAACCTCTGGTCTGTGGACTGACATCAGACCATGGCATGCCAGAAACCGGGCTGTGTAAACAAGCAAAGCCCCACCCACAAGACGCAGACCCCTCTAGTCCCTGGGAACTGATCCCTGGTACCCAAAAAATTTTGAGGGCCACTGACCTTGAGAATTCCCCAGTGGTCCTTCTGCTGGTGAAGATTTGTGCAGAACAACGTGTGATTGAAACTGGGAAGAGCCCAGAGAAAGAAACAGACTGGGGTGGAGTGGGTTGGGGTTACTGCCCCTTCAGCTCCCCTTGTTAAAGAGGGGTTCTCCTCCCCCCAAAAAAGCTGGGAAAGTGAAGCAGAGGCCCCGTGGCTCTGGAAGATTGCTATTCATGGAGATCCGTGAAAGTCAAGCTAGGACATCATGCCAGATTTTTGTCTCTTTGTGTGTCTGTGTGGAACAAAGTCCTAACAGCATGGCTTTCTAAAAAAAAAAAAATCTTTGTAGAAACTTGAAAAATCACACCTGTATTCTCAGCTGTGCATTTCCATTCTTCAGAGTGAGCAGGAAGATATTATTTATACCTTTCTGGTGGCTTAGATATTTTCCTTTGAATCATCCCTCTGTTTCGCAGGAAGGAAATGACCACTTTTATTACTTTTTCATCATCTTTTGCTCTTTCTTGGATATCTTCTGTTTAGAAGCCAGCTCCAAACAAAGAAATCCTGCCTCTCCTTTTCTATGATATCGAGCCGTTTAGATGAAATAGTGAGGTTATATTATATACTAGCTCGATACCCGTGCTTCGCTATGAAACTATGTGGTCGGGCTTAGTTTTTGGGGATGAAAATAAGAGGGGGGGATTGTGCCTCTGCCTACCAGCATCCATTGGTATTCATCTGGCTAGCATCCTGTCAGTGTGTGAGAGAGTGGAGGACTGTTTGGAAACTGAAACAGTGTTTGCTGTGTGAACAAGAAGGAGACAGCAAGGAGCCTGGGCGTGGCTTAGCTCAACTGTTCTGTACTAAAGCTGCTTGGTGCTGTGAAACTAAAACTGAAACTCCTCTCCTCTGCTGGTGTTTTGCCTTTGGAAGAGATTTCTTTTCAGGTGGGGAGGGGGAGTAGAACTCCTTAGCATCAGAGCGTGTTAATAATAATCATATAGGAAATACTCTAAATGCTCTGATGGTCATTTGGAAAAATTCCTTTCTTAGTGAACCCGTAGAAGCCAAGAGGAACCTACATGCCCAATTTCAAGTTTGTAGGCTTTACGGTTCTGGAGATTTTGTGATGATGCATGAGCGCTATTTCACTTTTGTGAAGAGAGAAGATTTATTTATTTTATTTATTTGATTTGTCAATTGCTTACAAGATAATAGGTATAAGTATAAACACCAGTAAGAATACAGGAAAATAGGTATGAATAAATAGGGACAATAGGACAGGGACGGTAGGCATGATGGTGCCCCTATGCACGCCCCTCTTAGGAATTGGGTATTCTCTCCTTTCCTTCCTTCCTCCCACTCCCTCCCTTTTCTCTCCTCCCTCCATTCTTTTCTCTCCTTCTTTCCCCTTCCCTGTTCTCCTTCCTTCCCCTTCCTTCCTTCTTTCCTTCCTTTCTCCCACTCCCTCCCTTTTCTCTCCTCCCTCCATTCTTTTCTCTCCTTCCTTCCCCCTTCCTTCCTTCCTTTATTTTTTATTTATTTTATTTATTTGCTTTGTCCATTGCTTACAAGATAATAGCTATAAGTATAAACATGAGTAAGAATACAGGAAATAGGCACGAATAAATACGGACAATAGGACAGGGACGAGAGGCACGATGGTGCACTTATGCATGACCCTTCTCTCTATATATATACATATATACATATATTCTATATTATATACTTCTCGGTGCAAAATGGAATTGAGAATCTTTCTTTCCTCAATGCCCAAGCTGGGACAGGCATATCGGTCTGTCCCAGAGCATTTTGCAAGAGAGGAGGGGGCTTCCTCTGCCCTCTTTTTCTTTCTAGCTAGGGAGGTGTTTCCCCCCCCTCCCCCCATTTCCTCTCTCCCACACACACACACACCATCTTTTAGAGCTGTGTGCTGTTTATTGGGAAAGTGTCAGGGTTTCTTCCTTTCCTTGGGCATTGTGGATGAGCAGAGCCGTTGCTCTATTTAGCTAAGCCTTCCAGGGCCCCTGTGCACACCCAACATTTGAAGGGACACCCCCCCCACTTGCCTTGTCCTGCCGCTTCTTCCACCCAGTGTTTTGTCTTACACACCAACTTTTCCCCAGCGGCCATGTTTGATTCTGCACTTCTCAACAGTCAGTTCCTTTCATTTCGCTCTCCTTCCGGGGATGTTGCAATCTCGCCACATAGAATTAAGAACACTTTAATTAGTCAATGTTTTATAAAATATAAGTGAAGAGGGGGGGAATTGATTATGGAAAGTTTATAATTGTTCCCATAGAAGTATGATATTTAATCGAAAAGTAACATGAAAAATGTTAAGACTGTAATGAATATTAATATTAATGATGGAATTGAATTGGAATGGAATGTTGTTTTAATTATATACATTTATAATTTTTTCTTTTCTTTTCTTTTTTAAGAATACTGTGTGTAGTTTAAGAATGTACCAAGCAGAATCCGAATGGAAGTTATGTATTATATTGAGTGTTATAACTTTAGGGGAAAGATATAAAGGCGTCATACTCCAATCAGTAATTACAGGAGAAATTTTGTTTAATGAGAAAAGATAATAGACAATTGAAACAGGACAGACAAAAAATATAAATATAATTATTTGAATTGAGATGAAATAAATACAATAAAATTGAGGAAATTAAAAGACGGGAGAAGCCATGCAGAAAATGTAAAATAGTAATAAGATATGGAATAGAATATAAAAATGAGCATAAACCTGAATTTGTGTCTGTACGGAGAAATGTAACCCGGGATTATGCTGCTTTCAAAAAAGATGTTTTAATTGGTATTTCTTTTCTTTTTGTGAAAACTCAAATAAAATTTACCAAAAAAAAAAAAAAAAGAAAGATCACGTGAAGTACTAGGACTGCTCCATAAAGCCTTAGTAAGGCCCTGCTTGGAATGCTGCACCCAGGTTTGGTCACATCAGCCCCCCAAAAAGATGTGACTTTTAGGGAAAGTGCTCAGAACAACAACTAAAATGATAAGGGTGCTGGAGGCTTAAACATAGGAAGAACGTCCCAAAAATGTTTTTTTTTTTTTTAAAGAGGCAACTGGAATTTCTGGTTTTGTTTTTATCTGAAGACGTTTCTCTTTTCATCCCAGAAGCTTCTCCAGCTCTGACTTGGATGGATGGGGAATGGAAGTCAGAGCTGAAGAAGCTTCTGGGATGAGAAGCGAAACGTCTTCAAATAAAAACAAAACCAGAAATTCCAGTTGCACCTTTGTTTGGAGCAACCATAAGAATCTCCATAGAGATATGAAGAAGGGTTGCAGGATTTGGGTTTGGCCAGTCTAGAGAAAAGAAGGTCCAGGGCAGAGGTCTCATTCTCGTGGCCCGCGAGCCAATTGCGGCCCGCAGGACGATATCCTGTGGCCCCCACGGTGATATGAAAGTATAATATTAGTGTATAATATAAATATAAAGTATAATATAAAGTATAATATTATGCGGCCCAGCCTCACCCAGACTCTGCCTCCAGCGGCCCCCAGGTAAATTGTGTTTGAGACCCCTGGTCTAGGGGGACAGGAGAGCAACCTTCCAGTATTTGAGGGGCTGCCCCAAAGAAGAGGGGGACAAACCAGAAGGCAAGACAAGAAAGAAGGGATGGAAACGAATCAAAGGAGAGAAACAACCTGGAGAAACTTTCCTAACAGTGAGGACAATCAACCAGTGGAGGGTTTCCTGCTTGAGGAGGGGGCTGGACTAGAAGACCTCCAAGGTCCCTTCCAATTCTGTCACTGTTGTCCTGAGCTCCTTTGACCGAGGGATCTGGGATCTTTGACCAAGGGAAGCTGGGACCGAGAGAAGGTGGGATCTTTGACTGAGGCAGCTGGGATCAGCCGCCCTTCAGGCCAGAATTGGATCTGCCCGTTTAGGACAGGTTGGTTTCAACCAAGGAAGCCACCCAGCTCGCCCTGCTCTTTTCAACGGAGGATGCGGGAGAACTTCTGCGAGGGCGACTTAGGGACGCGGAGCCCGGCCAGCTCCTCCCGGCGGCGCCTGGGGAGGGGGCGAGGGGGCCGCTTCCCCGCCCAGCCCCCCCCTCCCCTCTTCTCCCTCCCCCTGAAACTCGACCCGGGCCGTATATCCCCGAAGAGGCGGGCAGCCCTTTGGGGGCAGCGGCCAGAGATTTCCCTTGGTGGAGAAGGGCGCAAAGCGGAACCCACGCCGGGCCGGACCGAGGATGCCACATCACTGCGAGCGCTGCCGGCCTCGGGGAGGCATGCGGGGGCGGGGGCTGCTGCACGCGTGGCTGGCGGCGGCTGCAGTCGTGGCCGTGGGCAGCCTGGCGCCCACCGCCTCGCTCGCCGGACCGGGTAGGTAGGGAAAAGCGGGAGGTTGGAGAGGGGGGGGGAGGTCTTCGAGTTTGGACCCTGCCCGGCGTTGGGCACTTTCCCCCGAGTCTTGGAGGGGGGGGTGAGCGGTGGAGTAAAGGTCCCGCTAGCAGATTTCGGGGGGGGGGGGGGGGGGGGGGGTGTCCCCATGTGGTCTGCAGCCGTAAGACGCCCAGCCTGGGGGTGGGGGAGTGGGGGTGGGGTCTCTGCCCAGCTGGACCTCCCCTCCCGACTTCCTGCCGCCGCTTCTCGGAGTGGGGAGGGGGGCGAGGGGGGGGGAGAGCAGGGGGCTCACAAGCCGAAGGCAGGCAGGAGCCCCGGAAGGGCGCGCGAGTCCCGGCGGGCAGTTTTTTTTAGAATGGAATTATCAAGAGTTGGGAGGGGACCTGGGAGGTCTTCTAGCCCAACCCCCACCCACCCTCCACCCCGCTGAAGCAGGAGACCCTACTTACCCCGCTTCTGACAAGGGGGCTGTGTCCAGTCTCTTCTGGAAAGCCTCGGGGGGGGGGTTAAATGAATTGGCAGATTTAACAGAGTGGGAAGGGACCTTGGAGGTCATCTAGTCCACCACCACCCAGATCCCAGATCCCTCGGTCAAAGGTCCAAGCTTCGTTGGGCAAAGATGCCAGCTTCTCCCGCCCAAGCAGGAGACCCCATCGCATTTCTGACCGGGGGCAGTCGGGTCTCTTCTTGAAAGCCTCCAGGGATGAAGATCCCACAACTCCCGAAGGCAACTCCTGTTCCGTTGAATATAGGATAACAGAGTTGGAAGGGACCTTGGAGGTCATGTAGTCCAACCCTCCCGCCTAAGCAGGAGACCCTACACCATTTCTGACCGAGGGCAGTCCAGTCTCTTCTGGAAAGCCTCCAGGGGTGGTAAATGAATCAACAGATTTAACAGAGTGGGAAAGGACCTTGGAGGTCATCTAATCCAACCCCGCCCCACCCCCCTCGCCCAAGCAGGATACCCTACTACTCCATTTCTGACATAGGGCAGTCCAATCTCTTCTCGAAAGCTTCCAGGGATGAAGCTCCCACAACTTCTGTTCCACTGGTTGATAGTTCTCACTGTTAGAAAGTTTCTCATTTCCAGGTTGAATCTCTCCTTGTTCAGTTTCCATCCATTATTCCTTGTCTGGCCGACAGGCGCTTTAGAAATTAGCTTGACCCCCTCCTCCTCTCTGTGGCAGCCCCTCAAATCTTGGAAGACCGCTATCCTGTCTCCCCCGGTCCTCCTCTTCAGTAGACTAGCCAGGCTCAGTTCCCACGCTGTTCCCGTGTGCGCGCCCCGTTCGGTGGGTTCCCGGTCTTCTAAACCCCGCAGAAAAATATTGGAAAGCCCCCAGCTGGCGGAGACGCAAGTCTTCCCGGGCAACCTGGCGGTGGGAGATGCGCCGAAAGGAGGCAGCAGCGCAGCGCAGCACCTGCTTGGCCGTCGGGCGCAGCGGGATTCAATCTGGGTCATTCTCGGAGGATGGGCTCCGAAAGCTGGGAAGACAGACCCAGTGAGAGGCCCAGATTGGATCCTGCAACGTTTGTCCTGCGACACGTAGATTCGGCCGGAGCCTTTCCCTCTCTGGGTTTCTGGTCGGGCCGGAAACAGCGAGGTTAATATTAAGTGGTTGAGGAGGAGGAGGGAACGGGAGGGGGAGGAGGGGGAGGAGGACTGTGGGGTCCTTGGGGCTCTCTGAGCTTAGTGGTTTTCTTGCAGACATTTCATGACCCAACTAGGGAACATCATCAGTGCTAGAAGGGAGGGAGAGTTGCGGAAAGGAGGAGGAGGAGGAGGAGGAGGAGGAGAAGGAGGTAGAGGAGGGCTATGGGATACTTGGTGATCTCTGAGCTTGGTGGTTTTCTTGCAGACGTTTCATGACCCAACTAGGGAACATCATCAGTGCTAGAAGGGAGTGAGAGTTGCGGAAAGGAGGAGGAGGAGGAGGAGGAGGAGGAGGAGGAGGAGGAGGAGGAGGAGGAAGCTTCTATTCTATTCTATTCTATTCCCTTCTATTCTATTTATTCTATTCTAATTATTTCTACGCTACTCTATTTCCTTCTCCTATTCTATTCTATTCATTCTATTCTATTCTAATCATTCCTACTGTACTCTATTCTTTTCCCTTCTCCTATTCTATTCTATTCTATTCATTCTATTCTATTCATTCTACTCTATTCATTTTATTCTATTCTAATTATTTCTACACTACTCTATTCTTTTCCCTTCTCCTATTCTATTCTATTTATTCTATTCTAATTATTTCTACTCTACTCTACTCTACTCTACTCTACTCTACCCTACTCTACTCTACTCTACTCTACTCTAAGATGGAGAGCTGAGGCTCCTGGGATGGTTTTAAAGACTCTTGAGGTCAGAACTCTCCCCACCCCCCCACCCCCCTCTCCCGCTGCTTGGCAAAAGAGGGGCAGCCCAAAGGATGGGCCTTTCCCTGGACTGCAGCCTGGGTAACTTCCGGTGGGTGAGCTGAGCCCGAGTCCTTTCCTTTGTCTGCCTTTTCTGGGCTGGCTCACCCCAGGCCAAGCGAAGCAGCTGTTTTGGGAGAGGTCTCCTCCCACTTTGGGTGAAGGGAAGACACACACACACACACACACACACCCTTCAGCCCCTGGGTTCCCTCCCTAGCAATTAATGTAACTGCTTTGGACAGCAGCAGAAATAACAATAATTTTGGCTTCTGGCTGGCTTCTCTTTGGGAGACCATTGTCCCCTGCTGGAAAGCAACAGCATGGGTGGGGGGGGCTCTGGCAGCCCTGGGGGGTTGGGGGGAATGGAGGCATGGGGGTCCCCCCCCCTGCTTTGTTTCTCTTGGGGAGCTTCAGCCTGTCTCCTGGGAGAGAGGCAGGTTTGTAGCCATGGAGGAGGAGGAAGGCAAAGGTTTTTGGCAAACCTCAGGAGACAGGTTGGAACCATTCATTTAGAAAGAACAATATATGTGCACGTCTCTCTCTGTGTGTCTCTCCCTCTTCCTCTCTCTCTCCCTCCCTTTTACTCACTCTCTTTCTCCTCCACCCTGTTTGGGAAAAGACACGACACAGGGGCAAAGGGCAAAGGGCAACAGAATATTTTCTTTCTTTCTTTCCCTTCCTTTCTTCTTTTCTTCCCACCTTACGTTCTCTTTCTTTCCCTTCCTTCCTCTTTCTTTCTTTCCCTTCCTTCCTTCCGACCTTTCATTTTCTTTCTTTCCTTCCTTCCCTTCCTTCCTCTTTCTTTCTTTCTTTCTTTCTTTCCTTTTCTTTCTTTCCCTGCCTTTCTTCCTATCTTTCATTCTTTCTTTCCCTTCCTTCCTTCCTTCCTCTTTCTTTCTTTCCCTTCCTTCCTTCTGACCTTTCATTCATTCTTTCTTCCCTTCCTTCCTCTTTCTTCCTCTTTCTTTCTTTCTTTCTTTCTTTCTTTCTTTCTTTCTTTCTTTCT